CCGGGCCCCCCGGTACTCCCCCCCTGCCGCTCACCCAGGTGTGAGAGGGGGTGGCACGGACAGCAACCCGCACCGCTGCTAGCGGACACTGCAGCACAAGGCCTCCAACACCCCACCGTAAGGCTCGCGCTGCCGAATTCCCAGTGCGGGCATTGCTTCGCCCCTCCACCAGCACACCGACACCAACCGCAGAGCCCCGTGCCCCCCCACACACTGCCTTGGTCCAAACCTCCCCAAACAGCTCACCACCGCATCCCATCCCAGCCAGCAATAACACGTCCTTGTCCTCACAGCAAGCCCCATTTTGGGCAGGATGCTGCGCATGGACATGCAGCTCTGCCCGCGGTCTGCCCTGCCCCGAGGGCTCAGGCATCTCACCCCTCCACAGCCTGTGGCCCCAGAGCACCAGGGCCATCTCAGCCTCCACTCACAGCACCTGACTCTACCTCTTCCTCGACATAACACACCATGAGACAGCCAGCCTGAGGGAACCTTTGGGACCAGGAGCCACCACCACCGAGCTACCCTGCCGGCTTGCAGGACAGCCTCCTTCACTGCCCAGTGGGACTCGCCTGCTTCCAACAAGTGCCTCCGGTCCCTTAGCCCAACTCAAATTGGGGGACAGCTGCAGGGCAGCTGCTCCTTGAGGACAGCAAGGAGATGCCCTGCCTGTCCTGCTGCCTGCCCGCACCGCTGTGCTCCTGCATCACAGCCCCATGTCCTGGTGGCCCCAGGGCCGGAGCTACGGCTGGAGAAACCCCTTCCTGCAGCACCATGGGGATGGGCTGCTGCAGGAGCTGAGGGTCCCCAGGGATGGAGCCGGGTTCAGGCAGGACGGGCTCTCTGTGCCATGGCAAAGGCACAGCTCCCCAAGAAACCAGGTGCGACGGACTATCTGCTGCCGGTCCAGCTCTCTGCTGAGCTTCCCCCGCTGCAGCCCCTCTCCAAGGCAGCACCAGCAATGGGGAAGGTGTTGGTACCCACAGGAGCAGATGTTGGGCTGGACTGACAGTGAAGGGCAGCTGCACTTACAGTATTAGAATTTAATGGAGTGAGTCCATGAGAGTATTTAAGTACAGAATATATATATAATATATAGAAATATATGCAAATTAAATGATAAGGCTCTGTTATAAAGACCCTCTCAAGATAAGGCTACTAGCTGGGCTGAAGCTCTAACATGGACTCATCCCTACTCCATAAACCTCACAGACTCTCCCCACCAGGCGGTATATGCCTGGCTGGCTGCAGAGCCCTGGGAGGCAGGGAGAGTTCAAACCGTAAGGCCGGCAGCTGGATGCTGTTAGAAAGAGTTCTTCTAAAAACCGGGTGGCTCCAGCAACGTTTTGGTGCCCAAAAGCCTGGAGGTCCCTGGGCATAACTGAAGAGGAGTGGGATGCTGAGCTCTGCATCCCCCGAGGGCTGCAGTCAAAGGCAGCAGCCGGCGAGCACGGGGGAGACAGGCAGCTTTCACGGCTTCAGTTCTTTCTTCTGAACCTTTCCACCCAGGCTTGGACACTGTGGCCGAGTGACGGAGCCAGCCTCCTGGGGAGCCCACAGTCCCACTCCTGCATGACCTATATTCCCCTGAGATCTTCTGGAGCTGGCAAGCATCCTGCACGACCGGCTCGGAGGGAGTCTGTGCGAGGTCTGCCGCAGCACAGGGAGCATGGCAGGGAGAGGAGGGGGAGGAAAGCAGCCAGGTAGCTGGTAAGGAAAAGCCTCTGGCTCACAGGAGGTGTTAGATAAGGGAGGTCATACCTGAAAGAGAAATGGAGAGGTCAGGAAAATAGGACCTGGAGCCACCTGGTTAGAACAAGGCTGCTGCAGAGCCGGGGGAATCCTGCTCAGGGATGGCAGAAAATGGGCAAGGGTCTGCGTGGGCAGAGAGGGAAGCTCTCCCCAGCCTTGTGTTAGTGCTGGCAGCAAGCAATGTCTCCCCCCGGCACACGGATGAGCAGCCTGGGTGAGGGACAGCGTGCTACTCCCGGGCTGGAGCACAGAGGGACAGCAGAAAGACCGACACCAAAACCCACAGGGCGAGGAGAGAGCTGTCCACATGCGCATCCCCCAGTCCCCATCCCTGCTGGGAAGAGCTGTCCATGAGCATCTAGGAGAGCTTGCACCATTGCTTCCATCTTGCCAGGTAACTGGGGCCTCCACCTCTCCTGGAGAGGGGTCTGGACAGGGATGAAGCGAGGAAGGGGCTCAAGGTCATCGCTGCAAACTCGATGCTGTCAGGTCTGTCCGTCTTCGCTGTGGGGACCCCCGCAGGGTGTGAGGTCCTGAGCAGGGCAGGAGGGTGCCTTGTAGCTCAGCTGGGGGGATCTAGTTGGACCATACTCTCAGCAGCTCTGATCGCCTCTCCTCGCACGTGTGAAACCTCCTCCTCATCCTCTCTGTGCCCAGGCCACACACCAGTCCTAGCAGCGCCGCAGCAGCATAGCTCTTGGCTGTAGGTGCTGCGGGGGATCGGCTGTCGCAGAGAAGCTGGGACCGGGGCAGGGCTCTGTGGGGAAAACCTCATCTGAGGGAGCAGTAAGAGGCCAGAGAGGGAGATTTCACTCGAGTACCTCGAGAGTTGGGGAAGGCGCTCCGCAGCTTCTCCATGATGTCTTCCAGGCACATGCTGACTTCCTGGGTTTTGGCTTCCACCTCATCTGCAGTGGGAAAGAAGGCAGGGGGGTGAGCAGCCTCTCTGGACATCCACCTCGCCAGCCAGCATCTCTGCAGGACGTCAGGGCAGGGCACAGGCAGCTTCCTGCAACATTGAACCAAGGGAGCGGGGCTGAGAGCTCAGCCCGACCCCCATCCTCACCTGCAGCTTCGGTGTCAGGGGTGTTGTGCTCTTTCTCCTTTGCCTGGCTGCCTTCAGACTGGTTGCCATCTGTCTCTGCAGGAGGCTGGAGAAAGAAGGTAGGTTGTCATGATCCTCTGTCCTTTTCCTCCCCATCTTTTGACCATCCCGTTCTGCCACTGCTCCAGCTCTGTTATGGCAAAGCCCACCCCAAGGATGGGCTTCCCCTGATCCTTCTCTGAGACTACCTGCAGTAGCAGCTCTCTCAGCCGGTGCAGCTGAGACTCCATCTGTCTCTGCAGGAGGCTGGAGAAAGAAGGTAGGTTGTCATGATCCTCTGTCCTTTTCCTCCCCATCTTTTGACCATCCCGTTCTGCCACTGCTCCAGCTCTGTTATGGCAAAGCCCACCCCAAGGATGGGCTTCCCCTGATCCTTCTCTGAGACTACCTGCAGTAGCAGCTCTCTCAGCCGGTGCAGCTGAGACTCCAGCTGCTTGTTGTGGTCCTCCAGGATCTGCATGCGGGTCTCCAGGCGGCTCTTGTGCTGTCGGAGGATTCGTGCTTCTGCCAGGAGCTCATCATTACGTGGGTCTTGCACTGATTCAGGAGAGCCTGTAGCCAAGGTTGGAGACTCTACCGCCTCATCATGCTGCCATTTCAAACGTCTCAGCTCTCCCTGGAGGATCCTGCAAGACAGCCTAGGTCAGCATCACTGCTCTACTTTCTAGAGAGTGCTGGAAACACCTGACAGCTTCTGGAGGCTTTGCCACATGTGAAGCTTGAGGATAAGCACACTCCTGGACTTTGTCCTTGCACCACAAGGTACCCTGCCTGCAGCTCTACCCTACTCAGGCAGTTTACAAGAAGACATGCAACTACTTCCTAAACAACTGAGAACAAGGGCAGGGAAAGCATCCCCTCCTCCCGAGCTGATCTGCAGTGCCTACAGGCTCACCTCATGTGGTCCAGAGTAGCACCACCACTGTTTGTGAGAGCCTCAGGGACAAGAGAGACAGCAGTGCCCTGGGCTCACTTCAACCAGTTTGGGTTTCAGGAGGGGAATAGGTTCTGGGGATGGGGGAAAGAACATTTTGAGGAACAGCGTCTTCTCCCTTCCTTGGAGAGCACACCCTCACTGAGTGTTCCCATGAAGGTTTTAGGGCTCAGCCTAGACACTCTCCAAACCAGCTCATTCAGCTCTTCC